AAAAAAAAAAAAAAGTTATGTGGGCAAAGACGCAATGGAAGGGACAGCCAAATGGAAGGGATAGTCACTGCGTTCAGGACAACGAGTAGAACAATTTGGCTCAAGTAAAGGGTTCACCCAAAGAGAAGCAGAGAGATGGGTATTAAGGTAGATGGAGCCATAAAGTGAAACTATAAGTAAGAGGCTGAGGAGGACTGTATCATCTGTCAGTTTCCCTGAAGCCACTGACAGGTGGCATAATGATAGCAACATAAAATATTCAATGATGATAATATCTTAATACCTCGCAGCATTTTGTTTCAGAGTAATTTCATCTATTATTCACAAAAGAAATTTTTTTCTCGTTTTGCAGAGATGTCACTGCATATCAATAAATGTAAATGAGCTAGCTGTTTAATAGCAGAGCTATGATTCAAATCTACATCTTCTGCCCTGGCATGTTACAAGAGTAAGCAGGAGTTGTCAGAGTGAGGAAAGAGAGGCCAGGGGAGTTGTTCCCTGTGTTATGCAGACCGGAAAGGATAAGAACCGCATGAATTCGTGTGGGTTACCCCAACGGGTGGATGGGCCATTTACGGTCCTCATCTCTTGCGGAAAGCTGCTTTTCTTGTAGGCAAGTACGAACTTCTAATCGGAGCTAACAGACATTTAAACATGAAGCTGATCGTGCATCTATTACAGGTGTTAAGATGGCAGAGTGAAACTCTTTTCCCCATCACTTCATTTTGCCAAAGAACATTCCTGCTGCCTTTAATCTGTAGGCGCTTAAAAATCAAATCATACTGTAACTATTGGGTTATAACCCAGAACATTTTCTGGTCATCTGGTTTTTCTTTTTTCTTTTTTCAATTTTTTTTTTTTTAATCTTTATTTATTTTTGAGAGAGAGACAGAGCGCAAGCGGGGGAGGAACAGACAGAGAGGGAGACACGGAATCTGAAGCAGGCTCCAGGCTCTGAGCTGTCAGCACAGAGTCGGACCAGACGCGGGGCTGGAACCCACAAACCGCGAGATCATCACCTGAGCTGAAGTCAGGCTTAACCCACTTCACCACCCAGGAGTCCCCCCCCCCCCGGCCACATCTGCTTCTAAGAATCAAATGATTAATTTAGGGATTCGTCACTCTCTGTCCATTGATTATGTTTTTGAAGGTGCTTTCAACCCAGTTTTCTTGCACCTCCTTATAAAATTCTCATTACCATTTATTTTATTCAAATCCAGTAATCCTTACTTCAGCTGTGAATAACTGATTCCTACTCCACATACTGTACACAGTGTTAGCATAATAGCTTTAAAGTGCTTCAGAGATTTTACACAAAAGTCTTTTGAAATTATGCTCAAACTGAAGAATGTATCTTTTTTCTTCCTATCAGTTTATCTTTTTCTCTCAGAAGAATTTTTTATGAAAAGGTTCCCAAAATGAAATGCTTCTCTCCCCTTCCTAAGAGAATGTGATCTACCCTAAACACAAGAAAACAGTGAAAGCAATACAAAACCTCAAAGATAGCAACTCACTGATGTCTATTTTTTTTTTTTTTTTTAATGTTTATTTTTGAGAGAGGGAGAGTGTGAGCAGGGGAGCGGCAGAGAGAGAGGGAGACTTAGAATCTGAAGCAGGCTCCAGGCTCTGAGCTGTCAGCACAGAGCCTGACTCCGGGCTTGAACCCAGTAGTGGTGAGATTGTGACCTGAGCTGAAGTCGGAAGCTAAACCGACTGAGCCATCCAGCCACCCCATTAAGTTCTACTTGTTAAATCAGAACACTTGACAAAGAAGCAATGTATACCCTGTGGGAGAAATTGCCATTGGTCTCAAGCAAAACTGATACCCAACATTTTGATGAGTAGAAAAAGTCTAAGTCAGTTTTATATGGAGCAAAATCCCAGTCTTCTTCCTCTTTTTTTTTTTTTTT